AATGTGCTAAAAATGAGCAAGTAAATCAACCGAGATCTTGCCCTAATGAAACTTATGAAAGATAGAGGGATGGGAAGTGGAGGAAAGAGGACAAGCAAATCAGTGAAGTAGAGAACCATGGAACTTGTAAGCAATGGTCATGGCTCCTAGCATGTGGAGGAGTCAATGCAAAATTTGTAACTTTGAACTTTGAACAACATTAGTTGCTTGCTTCATAAGCACGGATTGTGCAACTTACCTAACCCAGCCCAACCAAAGGAAAATAGGCAACAAATAATTAATTAAGACCAGAGTGTTAAGATATGAAGATTGAAAACGAATAAGTAAATTTAGGTTTTGGCCACAAAAAAATTTTCATTTTTGGAAAAAATAAAAAAATTTATGAAAAAGACAGAAAAACCCCTCAACTGTAAAGAATTCCTTAGGAAATCCAAAAATAATAAGGGCATTTTTGTCTATTTTGGCTTCTTTTATGGCCTTTTCCAAAATGTCCCAAAGGAATATAGAGCAAAGAGAGAAAAGAAATAAAGCTGAGAGAGCAGAGAGAATTTCAGAGATAGAGAAGGGACTTGTTGTATTTCTCATTTAAGCTCAACTTAGCACAATTACAAACCTTATATCAGTTGAGTTAAAGCCTTGTTCACATGTTTCTAACCTCTCTAACTTCTTTAACCTTCTCTTATTAGTACTAACAGTTTTCCTAAACTGCCTAACATGTCTAACAATATCTCAACAGATTTATTATTTAATCTTCTGACATGTGGCAGCACTAGGACCATTGATATCTTTACATCCCCCCTCAGTCGCATGCTTGGAGGAGCCAAGCATAAGATTGGAACAATTTTGCTGGAACAGAGGAGTAGAAAAACCCTTAGTGAGAATGTCAGCAAACTGGTCTGCAGAAGATACATGTTGAACAAGCAAATCATTGTGGATAACTCGCTCTCTGACAAAGTGGTAATCTATTTCCAGATGCTTCATTCTTGAATGCAAAACTGGATTAGAAGACAGAGAAATAACATATATATTGTCACAATGAATTAACGAAAGAATACGTAAAGGCACATTAAGATCACAGAACAATTGTCTAATCCAGGCAAGCTCAGCAGTGGCAATAGCAAGGACCCTATATTCTGCCTCAGTGGATGAACGGGAGACGGTATGTTGTTTCTTAGAAGCTTAAGAAATGGGACTAGAGCCTAAGTAAACTATAAACCCCGAGACAAACCGTTGATCATTAGGATCCCTAGCCCAGTCAGCATCACTGTAAGCCTGCAGATTAAGAGGACCAGGTTGAAAATGAATTCTAAAATCAGTGGTGCCTTTCAAATACCTCAAGATCCTCTTAACCGCCACAACATGAGATTCCATGGGATTATGCATGAATTGACAAGCTTGATTCACTGAGAAGGCAATGTCTAGCCTTGTGAAGGTGAGGTACTGTAGTGCTCCAACAATGCTCCTGTATTGTGTTGGATGAGAATAAGGCTTCCCATCATCTTTAAGTAATCTGTGATAGGGAAGACAAGGAGTGGTACATGGTTTCGAATCTTGCAAATCAACTTTATCAAGTAATTCCTTGATATATTTAGTTTGAGACACAAATAAACTAGTGGACTGATATGAAATTTGCAGCCTTAGAAAATAATTCAATTGGCCTAAGTCCTTCATATCAAATTCTTGGGTAAAAGCTGCAATAACAGATGTAATAAGAGAGGAATTACTGCTTGTGAGGATGATATCATCAACATATAGGAGTAAGACCACAATGCCAAGAGAAAAATGTTGAACAAATAGGGAGGGATAGGCAGTTGACGCTTGAAAACCCAAACTTGGTAAAAAAAAAAAAAAACTAGTAAATCTCTCATTCCAGGCACGAGGAGCCTGCTTTAAACCATACAAAGACTTCCTTAGTCTACAAACAAATTTAGAGGGATGATGCGTGCTCTCAAAGCCTTGGGGTTGAGTCATGTAAACCTCCTCTTGAAGGATATAATGCAAAAATGCATTTTTTACATCGAGTTGCCAAAAGGACTAGTTGAACTGAGCTGCAAGAGCAAGGACTAATCAAACATTGGTTGGTTTTACTACAGGGCTAGAGGTTTTACTATAGTCGATACCTTCCTCTTGTCTAAATCCCTTAGTAACCAAACGAGCCTTATGCTGAGCAATAGAACCCTCTGCATGTTTCTTAATTCTATATACCCACTTACAACCAACAAGATTCTTATGAGCTAGGAGAGGAACCAAATCCCAAGTATACCTTGAGCATGAAGAGCCTCAATTTCCTCCCTCATTGCAAACTGCCATTCTGGAACTGTAGATGCAGCATTGAAAGAACTAGGTTCAATATGAGATAAATCAACAGACTGTACAAGAGTATAATAAGCCTTTCTTTTGGAAATACCATTGTAGACCTGGTTGTCATAGGGTGAAGATTCAAGGCTAGAAGTGGTTATACAACACGAAGATTCTCAAGTTGAAAATCATGATCTACAGGGAGAGGAGACTGTATAACAGATGTTGAAATTGGTAGATTTTGTGAAGAGGAGATCAAACATTATGAAGCACTAGGAGGTAGTGTATTCAAAGAGGCTGTGGCTTTAGAGGTTGTGGGAGAGGGAGTAGGAACATGGAGATGAGATACAAGTGTCAAAACAATGTTATGCAATGAAATAGATGGTGGAAGATAAGAAGTATATAGAGACTGAGATGGAGAAACATGCACTTGATTAACAGATGTGTAAGGAAACATAGTTTCATCAAATATGACATATCTAGTTACAAACAACTTGTTTGTTTGGGGCGCAAAATAGATATATCCCTTATATTGACCTGCATAGCCTAGAAAAATACAAGTAGAAGTTTTGGGCTGAAGTTTGTGAGAATTGGAGTGCTTGAGCAAAGGAAAACAAGCACAACCAAAAACCTTCAAGTGAGTAATCACTGGTTTGGAACCAAACAATAAAAGATAAGGATATTTGAAATGAAGAATTTCACAGGGCATTCGATTGATCAAGTAGGTTGAAGTAGTACAAGCATGAAACCAAAATTTGGGAGGTAAATGTGCAGTTTGTAACAAAGTGATTGCAATCTCTAAAGTGTGTCTATGTTTTCTTTCAACAAGACCATTTTGCTCAAGTGTATATGGGCAGGATTTTTTATGAACTATATACCATTGGTAAGAAGATAAAGTTTGAATTTTGTACTAAGGTACTCACCACCCCCATCACTTTGAAATTTTTTAAGAGTAGTAGAGAATTGAGTAACTAAGAAAGCATGAAAATAGAGAAAAATAGAATAAAATTCTCCTTTATTGATCATTGGAGAAATCCAAGTAAATCGAGTACATTCATCTATGAAACTTACATAATATTTGAAACCCTTAACAGAGAATGTGGGAAAAGGACTCTACACATCACTATGAACTACTTCTAAAGTTGTATAGATTTGATTGCTAGATAAGGAAAAGGAAGCTTGGCAAGTTTGCCTTCTAAACAAGTAGTACAGGCAGATTTGGTATTATCGAAAGAAAAAGAAACATGTGATTGATATAAAAGAGTTAAAGTGATTTTATTTGAGGGATAACCTAAGCGTTTGTGCCAGAGACTTGTGTTGACGTGATGTCCAAGGTAGAAAAAATGATTATTGTGGAAAGAAGATGCTTGCTTGTGATTGGGTGGAGAACTGAAGAAAGGAATAGGATACAAGTCGGTTGTACACAGTCCCTTGAGAAGAACACTCCCCGTGATCTTGTCCTGAATCCAAAAACCAAAGGCATCACAAATAAATCTGCAATTGTTATCTTTACATAACTATGAATGGAAAGCAAATGCCGAGAAAGCTTTGGCACATGTAAAACTTGCTTTAATTGTAAAGAATGTTGTGAAGCAACCAAAGTAGAAGAACCAACATTAGAAATGCTCAAACCTGAACCCCCTGTAGTAGTCATAGTATCATTCCCTGAGAAAGGAGTAGCTAAACAAATTGGAAGTCATATAAGTCGTAGCCCTAGTATATGCTACCCAAAATTGCTCATGAGATGAAGAAGATGGGAAGTTGGCATGCATTGCAATAAGATTGGTTGAACGAGGTCTGCCTTGATAGGAGAAATTGCCTATGTGGTAACACTGAATGACAAAATGCCCATACTTCCAGCAAATTTGGCATTGAACTGATGAGGTAGGAGCAGAGAGTTGATTATGCCTTTGATAACAATCAGCAGCTACATGGCCTTTCTTGTTGCAAATTTGACAAGTGGGAATGTCAATGTCAGGACCAAGAATGTCAGGGCTGGAATTAGGTGGAGCTTGATGAGTTCTTGGACCAGATGGATAATGATTGCGACCTCTGCCTCGACCCCTAAAATGAGAACCCCTATTGGTAAAATAACCACTAGTGTGGAAACCACCATTGTTACCAGAGGGAAAATGAGAAGATTAAGCATAACCAAAACTAGAATGATAACTTTGAGTATGAGACGAAACAGGATTAGAGGAACCTTCATTAAGAACTAGAGCTTTGCCTGTAAATGTCTTATCTTTAGCCATCTTTGCAGAGACAAAAAGAGTTGTAGAGTTAGTGTGTTCAAGAGTGGCTTCTTCAGCAAGCAACTAAGACCAAAAATCTTTAAGAGATAACACATTTTCTCTGCCTCGAACCACACACTGAAATGTATTATATTCAGAAGGAAGACCACTGAGAGCCAAGATCACAATATCATCATCTTCAAAAGAAACCCATGCTGCAGAGAGATGATCTCGAGCATCTTTTATCCTTTGCAGATATTGGAAGACAGTTTCATAACCCTTCTTGATAGTTTGAAGCTTACTTTTCATCTGAAAAATGCTAGCTTTTGTAACTGTAGAAAATCGATCTTCAACTGAACCCACATATCATGAGAACTAGTACACACAATGACATAAGAAATAGCAGTGGAAGAAAGAGTTTCAATAAGCAATTGCATCAAGGCACGATCGTGCATTTTCCAAACTTGATAAGCATCAGTTTCGACACCTTTAACATTGGAGTCCTTATCAAATCGAGTAGGACACTTCCGTGATCCATCAATAAAACCCAAGATGCCATGAACCTAAAAAAGGAGCTGCATTTGAAAATTCCATGTGAGATAATTTGTATCATCAAGCTTGATTGTCACAGAAGAAGAAACAGTGGGAATCAAAGTGGTAATGGGAGACTGAACAATTTGAAGCTGAGTAGTAGTCACCATGTGGAGAATTCAAGAAGAAAATAGAAGAATTTAGGGTTGAGAAAGAAGAAATTTTCAAAAAAGGGAATATTGAAGAAGAATTTTCAGTGAGACAAAAGATCAAACAGGTAATAGGCAGAGCAAAGAACACGAAATTGGTTGCTGTGTTTGAGTAGAGAAAGAAGCCAGAGGAAGAGAGTACGGAAGCAGAATAACAGAATATCAGGATCGATCCATGGCGAATGATACCATGTTAAGATAGGAAGACTGAAAAGGAATATAGAGCAGAGATAAAAGAAATAAAGCAGAGGGAGCAGAGAGAATTTCAGAGATAGAGAAGGGACTTGTTGTATTTCTCATTTAAGCTCAACTGAGCACAATTACAGACTTTATATCATCTGGGTTAAAGCCTTTTCAAGTGTTTCTAACCTCTCTAACTTCTCTAACCTTCTCTTATCAGTACTAACAGTTTTCCTAAACTGCCTAACAGGGCTAACAATATCTCAACAGCTTTAGTACTTAATCTTCTGACACGTGGCAGCACTAGGACCATTGATATCTTTACACAGAGTTTGCTCACAAGAAATGTGAGCTGTCACTTGAACTAAAGGCAAATCACAATAGAAGATTTTGTTGTTGGTGTTCAAAACTGGATGAACGACACCAAGAGAGCATGACTTTATGTGGTTCACTCAACTCCAAAGTTTGGAGCTATGTGTATTAAGCATGAAGAATACATATATATATATGTCTATCATATATACATAATATGATTGATTTTTAAAAATACAAACATACGTACGTGCATTCATGAGTTAAACAAAGAACACATTCGAGGTCAGAAAATAGGAGCAAGGAATGATTTATGCCCATTCAAAATTCATTCATAAGTAGGTCTACATAAATGGACTCCCCGCATCTCCAATCATGCTCTCTATTTTTTAGTTAGATTTTAGCTAAAAACATATAAAATTTATTTTAGGAGTTCTCTTTAAAATTTAAACTTCAATCATACTCTCTAATTTTGGGAGTCATAAATGCTATAATTCTTTTTTAATTGGTCAATCTCTATTAAAAATAGTTAGCATTAACTAAAAGTTTGAAATACTCATTAAATAAAGCAGTATTAAATTATAGGGAGCCGCTATGAGTCTTTTCTCTCTCCTCAGATTTAGGAGCTCCCAGAGGTCTTCTTATTTTAGGACGTGGATAGGGAGCATGGTGGAAGTTGTATTTTTCCAATTCTTCCCTAAAATTTGTCTAAGGATGTGTTTTAAGGAGATCATTGTGGATGTTCTTAAACTAAGCGTAGAATCTTGTGTTTACACTTAGCAAACAAACAAAATAAAATGCGGTAATTACAAATGTTGATGCCCAAAACGTACATTCATGAGTTAAACAAAATATACCTATGAGAATTTGGGCGACCTTAAAGAATGGCCGCGAATTTTTAATTCCGATGGAAGTCCTTTTATGGTTACTATTATTTGACAAATTTTCACTTTTATCATGTAGTTTTGGACTTGACAATTTTAGTACTGTAGTTTACTTTGCACAAGACATGTGTTACCACGTTAGATTTTTATTCAATTTTAATAAGGTTAGCAATTGGGTCTAGAATTACAAAAATAAGCAAATTGAAAGACTAAAATAATTTTATTTGAGGGACACCCTTTAAGGTTCCTTACAAATTTATTTTCAACGATTCAAATCATCTTTTTTTAAAGTCTATATTCATAGATCATTCTTGCAAAAAATTACACAAATTGGAAATCGTCTTAATATCCAATTGTGTCCTACAAAATCAATGAACACGGTACTTTAAGAAAGTACTAAAATTTCAATAATTCAATTCAATGGTCAAATGATATCGGATTCAAGTGATTTTTTATTTATTTATTATTTATTTTATAGAGATGATCTTTGAACGAGTATTTATAAAAGAGATGGTTTGGATTAGTGAAATACAATACGAAGTGAGCCCTACAAGAGTGTCCCTTAAATACTTATTTGAGGAATCCCTCAACTGAAGCTCCATGTATACATATGGATCTTGAGTCTCTGCATTTAGAGATGATGCATTTACCTGCATTTCATAAAATCTAGACCATCCAAATAATCCAATGCTTATAGGTAATGCCACATCGCCTACAGTAAATTTGTTGCCTTATTATCAAACTGACGCCGTTTATACCTGGTCTTCATCTCTCCTCTCAACTCCCGCACTCACCTTCTCTCTCATGTCTTGTACACCCAATTTCTTTTTGTTTACAATACTTTTCTCATCTGTTCCGTATGAATGAATTTTGGCTAGTAATCCTTTTTTTTTTTCCATCGGTACATCATCGTGATTTGTTATATATATAAAGCCTTTAATAGCTGCAATATACATCATCAATTTTTAAAGAAGGCAAAGGTGAAGCTTGAATTTGCTGGTCCTGCAAAAGCCGGAGAGAAGAATTATATCCTTTATTTCATATTTGGGATGTGATTGTTACACTACAACAATTGATTGCTATTGCAATCCAAATACACTACCGCATTTGATTGGAAATGCAATATGTACAGTCATCAGCCAAAATTGATTAGGAAATTACCAAACTGATTGCTATTCTGATTAATTGATCTTCAATTACTATACATTAAACTAGAAGAAGAAGCCAAAAAATAACTAGATTAAAAAGACACAGAGGGAGAACCGAGAGAGACGAGTTGAGAAGGGAGAGGGGAGAGGAAGATAGAGGTAGTTTTATAAAAAGGGAAACAAATTTATTGTAGGCGATGTGGCATACTCATAAGTGTTTGATTAGTTGAATGATTTAGATTTCATGAAATGCAGATAAATGCACTATCTCTAAATGTAGAGGCCCGGAATTTTATGTTCCCAATTTGAATCGAATTCAATGGGTCCCTAGAGGGATAATAAAAGGGGAGTGTAGGAGGAGATTTTGAGTGTGAGTGAAGGAATCACCCCCCAATAGGGGGATGTACGCTAGGGGACTTGCCTTTACAAGTCCCACATAGAATAGAAAGAATTTGATGACACGACTAAAGGAAAAAGAAAGTATAGTAATTTTATTTTATTTTTTGCTTCTCTTTATAATTCGTTTGTAAATAAAACGGGTAAGTAAGATTGTTTGAGATTGTACAATTAGGAACACTATTAAAATCCAAATAATAGCGTAGCCCATGAAAACTCATTGTCCGTATAAAAGCTTCTTCTCCTCGTTGAGATACATTCCAAAACCTTAGATCAGTTCAGATCAGAGAGCGCTCTCTCTCTCTCTCTCTCTCTCATAAAATAAAACCCCAGCAGAGCACTCCTTCCTGCCTTCCTTCCTTCCTTTGACTTTGATCGATGGCGGTCTTTATTGCGGGCGATCTTCGTTTCTGTCAAAATGGGCGGGGTATGGTTGATTGTGCGAATGCCCGTGGGCGAGAGGTTACTCTGAGCGATGTCGATAGCAGCGGTGGTGACATGACGAGCAACGCAGAGTACATAATACTGGTGGTTGGGAGTTACGGGGCTTACTTTCGATTGACGAAGGATGAGGTTGACCGTAGGTTTCCTTGTATCATTGTCTACACACCAGACCCCGTGCCCGAAGAGGATACGATCTCCTTTGTAAGGAAAATGAAGGAGGAGTTGGATCTCCCAGTGTTAGCCATTGCCGAGAGTAGTCCACGGTTGGTGAAGAATTTCTCTCTTTTCGTAGCAGGAGGATGCGACATAAAGTGGTTGGGACTCCGGCCTAGTGATGTGGTGGCGTTAAAAATGCATCCACGGTGTATGCGGCCAATGAATAGCAAGGATTTTAAGCTAGCGCAACGTCTCTTGGAAAAAGATGCAGTCGTGAAGCAACGTCCGGAATGGGTTGAGGAGCTCAAGAAAATGGTGGAGACCCGTAGCAAAGTAGAAGTTGAGGCGTTGGCCCCCTTAGGGAGGAGCTTCTTGTCCAATGTTTATTTTCCAGACAAGATGGTAGCACAGGATTGGATATGACCCGCTCACTAGTACTCATATATGGCTATAGCTACCTTAATTATTACTAGGTAGGTATCTTCTAAATTATTCTGTTCTTCTTTTCTGGATTCAATTCATGACGATGATGATGCATACTGTTTGTTAATTTCTCTTTTATTTTTCTTTCTAGGTTTGGGTTTCATTTGATGCATTTATATATAATCAATCGAGACTTCAATTCAGATATAGGAAATTAATTTTTACCTGCTGTCACTATGAATCGTAGTCCGTAAACAAATTCACTCATATAATTAAGGTAGCTATAGCCATATATGAGTACTAGTGAGCGGGTCATATCCAATCCTGTGCTACCATCTTGTCTGGAAAATAAACAAATTCACTCATATCTTGTGCAGTAAACAAATTCACTCATATAATTTGGTGAGTGAAAATTTACGTTGTCACAAGCATATATGAGTTTTTGCTCTATTAAAACATAATTACGCAAGAATATGTAAATTACATATTTTGTGATGTAGATGGCTTTCTCAAAAGGTTTTTGAAGAAGAAGAAAAAAAGCCTATCTAGCCCACCATCAACTACAACACATTAGGGAGATATTATTTTCCCAGTTTATTTATATTCCTGAGAACAGAACAATATATTAACTTAATTTGTCAATAAATTTTTAGAGATTTAAACCGCAAAGGTATAAATAAATAAAAAATCATTAGATTTTAAGTTAAAAATTTTAGCTACCCCACCCACCAAAAAATTCCTAGTTTTGCATCGACTTTTTAAGAGCAACTTTGCTGCGAAATTGTTTGAAACTTACTTTTACTGTTTGATTGGGTTACTAACTACGAAGTTTCCAGTAGGGTAGAGGAAGAGGAAAGGCTATTAACCCTTTCGTTACAAATGTACTCTTGATTTCCTCATATCCTTTCCCTCAAAAAGAAAAAAAGAAGAAGCATCTTCCTCCTCTTCGGTTTCATTAATCAATCATGCCGGTTTCTGGAAACTCTGAAAGCAGCTATCAGTAATTTTCCAAATAAGGTACGCATATGCATGTCAATCCAACTTGTTTCTCTCATCTTGTTTTTAGATATAAACTTCTTCTAAATTAGTCTGGATTGTTTCTTTTCTGGATTAAATTCGTAATGATGATGATGATGCATATTGTTTGTTAATTTTTCTTTTATTTTTCTGTCTGGGTTCGGTTTGATTTGATGCAAAGCAAGTTCGACAAAGAAGAAAGACTCATCGTGTTTTGGGGTTGTAATCTTCTCATTTTTATTCCTTTTTTAAATGATCCATTAGTAAGGCGCCACATTTCAATTTTTAATTTAAGTAACTTCATAAATTCATTAAAAAGTCATACTGAAAAATTCATCGAAATTACCTCAAACTTGTAATCACACGTATACTTTTATCTCGTGTTCTCCAAATCACATGTGCTTTTGGTTAGATTAATTGATATTAATTTTGGTTAGATTAATTGTGTAAGTGACATGGATTTTGTTCATATTTGATCTACAAAAAATTACCCTCTCCTAAAAAATTTATGAAAATTATCAAAAAGATTTTAATCTACAGAGTCATAGTCACCACTAGTTGTTATATTAAGATAATTGAAAGAAATTAAACCCCAATCATGAACCAAACAAGAAGTTGGGATGACGTCAATGAAGCCGTGGGGTAAGTAACGAGTTCCTTCTCGGAAGGAGGGTTTAGAAGAAATTTCAATAAATTTGTTGCCTTATTATCAAACTGACGCGGTTTATACATGGTTTTGATCTCTCCTCTCAATCCCCACACTCATCTTCTCTCTCATGTCTTCTACACCCCATTTCTTTTGTTTACAATACTTTTCTCATATGTTCAGTATGAACGAATTTTGGCTAGTAATCTTGTTGGTCCTTTTTTCCGTCGGTCGCTCCCTCTACCATATGCTGAAGTTGGCTTGCCCAAAGGAGCGAAGAGGTCGTTGGATCAACAACAATGCCCCAATTGATGTTTCTTGCCTCGCAATGAGGACTCTTTCGATTCTTGAACAAAATTGAAAGTTGAATCAGCTTGACAAAGTCGAGCGGGCTCGGCTAGGGCCTTGTCCCTCGACTCCTCTTAATCCTAATTTGTGGGGTTGCGTAGGCGTGCCACTATTGGGTATGAGACCAGTCCAATAGACCTGGTATGGGGGAATGTTGTGAGTTGATTTGGTGATGTTCACGCTTCTTTCTGGACCTCTATTCAAGCCATTGTGCTCCAAGGAGGGTACTGACTTGGAATAGTTCTTTTCTATGCCTCAACTAAGAAGACTTCAATATTTTTCACTCGTGTATGTCAGCTTGACAAGTATGAGCGGTACCTGAGCAAGCAAGAGGAGAAACCAAGATCGTGGTTAGTAACACCCTAATTGGGTTTAGCAACATGATTCGAAATTTGTGTAAGGCCCAAAGGTATAATTCGGGCCCGAATCCACTTCTTGTCTTTTGGGCTATCACGGTTCTATTTGGGCCCAGATCCCTCTTTTGGGTATGAATGATAAATTTAAAAGTGCAAGAGCGGGAACTTAAATTTATCTACCGAGATTATTTATGATCTATATTTAGGTGATTAAATGACAAATGCTTAATGAAACAGTTAAAACAGGTCCTGTGATCTTTTCATCTAATCTTGACTTAAAAGATAATAAGAAAACAAAGGCTCTTTTTAACTAATCCATTCGATTAATCCAAACATACGTTACAAAACAAGGAAAGACTGGAGATTTCTCTATCCAGTTAGATGACTACATGAATTCAAATGGATTATTTTAGAAGAAAATCATACCATGAAGATGGCAGAGCAACAAAGATGAACGCATAAGTTGTTAACTGGTTATCTGAAAACTTATGCAGGCTGATTCGAAAAGATCTTGAGCTTTTCAAGTGTTTTTTGAGACGTTGTGTCTAGTTTGGAGATAGAGTCCTCTTCTTCTATGGCGGAGGCTCTTTATTTATACGCAAGGATAGAGCTTGCAATGATGAAAGCTGAGAAAGGACATTTAGCTTGCTGTCCAAAGTCAGTTGTTGGTTCGCTGATCTAAACCAGTTCGTAGAAGGAATGATGGAACGTTTCTGACAAGAACTGCTGGTCTTTTGTGATGCTCTTCTGACTTGAACCCTTTGTACTCGAAGATCTGGTTGGCAATTTGGTCCTTTTCTAGTTTTGGTAGCTTCTGTACAGCTTGCTTCCTTGCTGGGTGAGAAGAAAGTTAAGTCATCATTAATGATGATAACCTCATTCAGCTCCTCACGTGGGTCTATGTATAACGGTTACCGATTTTTTTAACTTTAGTGTGACTCAAAAGTCTGGGCTTCCTAATTTTGGCCCTCATACTAACTTATTTTATATTGATGGCCCATGAAGAAAACGAGGGCCCTTTGGTTTTGAGGGAAAAGACAAAGGTTGTTGTTGGCCCTGGGCCTTCTTAAAATATTCTTTTTTGAAAAGTAAACCATTTTTGGTCCATTTACCAAAACTGGGTACAAACAAATCCCCCTTTTTTTTTTTCTTTTTTTTTCATCAGTACATCATTGTGATTTGTTAAAAAAAAAGCCTTTAATAGCTGCAATATACATCATCAATTTTTAAAGAAGGCAAAGGTATGAAGCTTGAATTTGCTGCTCCTGCAAAAAGCCGGAGAGAAGAATTATATCCTTTATTTCATATTTGGGATGTGATTGCTACACTATAGCAATTGATTGCTATTGCAATCCAAATACACTACCGCAATTGATTGGTAATGCAATATGTAGTCATCCGCTGAAATTGATTAGGAAATTCCCAAACTGATTGCTATTCTGATTAATTGATCTTCAATTACTATACATTAAACTAGAAGAAGAAGCCAGAAGAAAAAAGAAAAAAAGAAGATTAAAAAGACACATAGGAGAACCGAGAGAGAGGAGTTGAGAGGGGAAAGGAAGAGAGGAGAGGAAGATGGAGGTAGTTTTATAAAAAAAGAAACAAATTTATTATAGGCAATGTGGCATACTCATAAGCATTGGATTATTTGAATGGAAACAAATTCTGATAAAATCTAAATTGAATACACCCTTAAATGCAGAAGCTCATAATCCGTTAATGGTAAGAAAATTAAACCCCAATCATGAACCAAAAAAGAAGTTGGGATGACCAATTGCCAAAGTGAAGCCGTGGGGTAAGTAACGAGTTCCTTCTCGGAAGTTGGGATGACCCATTGTCAAAGTGAATACACCCTTGAATACACCCTCTCTTCTGGGGGGTTTGGCTTTGCATATGTTGGCGTTTGCTCCAGGTTAACATCTTCTCTCTCTCTCTCTCTCTCTCTCTCTCTCGGGGGCTCTGTCCCATGCACTCAGCACCTATTGGATAATAAAAAATATTATATGAGGACTATATTTCCAGTTGTCTCCTACCCACGTGTGGCCCTACCCAGTAATTGAGAAACCTAATAAGAACTTATAAGGAGTTGGGCTACTTCCCCATTACCAATTGGTTTTAGAGTAGAACCTCAACTTCCTTCATAAGTTTTAAGCACCACCCCTCAACTAATCGCCAAGCATTGGGTTCCTATCTGCTACCTCCGATTTTAATTGACCAGCTATCGAAGAGTTTCTAGCCAATCGATCTGTTAAATATCAAGGTTTACAGAAATATATATGGGGAATATGAAGTATAGATCAAATACCAATATTGAGATAAATTATATGAAAATAATGTATTACAAAATTTGGATATTATTTTCATAGTCAACCGATCACAACACAAAATCTAATTTGGGTTGAGGAGCTGACGCTAATGGTCGAGACCCGCCGCAAAGTAGAAGTTGACGCGTTGTCCCCCTAGGGAGGAGAGCTTCTTGTCTAACGTTTATTTTCCAAACAAGATGGGAGAGCAGGATTGGATGTGACTCAGCACTCACTAGTGGGATTCCTTTTGACAGCTGCTGATTTCATAAATTAACTACCTACACGCCTCTTATTTGAAAAGATTAAAAAAAAAACTATCTAATG